GCAGGGGTGCCCGTGGCAGGCAGGTGAGTGTTAACACGCTTCGGGGACCCCAAGGCCCCCGGCATCGCGCCGTGCCGTTAGCCGCCGGGCTGGTGGAAGGCAAGTTACAGCTCCCTTTGCCGAAGGGTCTCCTGCCACCGCGGGGCCCAGAAGCCATATCGCTGCTGACAGCGACATTTAGCTAGCGAGGGGACTGTCTGTGCAGCAAACCTGATCTGTGTATTTTAAAACAAACCCCATTAGGAGATTTGGCTGTTTTGAGAACCTGTTTCAGTTCCTTTAGGCTGCGTCTATGGCCGTGAGATCCCAGTGTGCTCCAGTCTCCTGCCTCTCCGCAGAGCTTGGCCTGGGCACGTTGCGGTTCTCCTCCCCACGTAGCTGGCTGAAGGACTCGTGTGAAGTTACCCTGCGCTTTACAGCTGAATTTTTCTCCTGTCGCCAAGGTCCCCTGACATTTCAGGCTTTGAATACGGGTCAAAGTGGTGCAGTTGCCTGTTTTAGACAAAGTGGATTTAACCTGATGTGTTTGTCCTTAGGTCATACTGTGCTAAAGCTGAGTTTAGACTGTAGTCAAGAATGTTGCTGCAGCTCACGATAGCTGTCAGTGAGACGAGGATCTGGTGTTGCCAAGAGCAGTTTGCTCATCCCTTGAGGGAGGCGATGGCTGAAGCTATTGCGTGGTCTCGCAGGTTGCTTAAGTTGATTGAGCAAATGTGACAAGGATGGAAACGTAGGTAAGCTTCAAAATAAGAGCACTGCACTTGCAGGTGGGAGCCCGAATTTATGCACAGAGGAAGCAGCAGCTGTTCGTACCATAAGGACCATCTGATGTGTTCCTAGGCCCACGCGTTTAGCGTGCCATTTCCCCCTCTTGATTATTTTTGACCCTAAATAGATGTTACTGGGAGCCCTCAGCTCAATTGGAAAATTCATGCTGCCCTGATATGAGAAATGAACTCCAGTAACGTCTTTGTCCAAAAAACTTTTAGGCTTAAGTGGGATTGTGGGGTTGCTCTTAAAAATCAACCCTTGGATCGTCTGATGGGGTATAGTAGAACAGCAAATCTGAGTGCAGGAGGAGCCCTTTGGCGAAGCAGGGGAGCTACCAGACCACTCTGCTTTCCAGCCCAGCCGTAGCCTTTGCCTGAGTCGGGGGTTTGGAGGGGCAGACCTGTGCGGGAAGCCCAGTATGTTTCCTTGCGGTTGTTCTTCTTACACCTGCTGCCATCAGATGGCTGGAGAAACCAACGTTCTCCAAATCAGGAGCAGATCTGACTTCCCATGTGGATGGGATACCCCAGGGTGGCTGTAGGCAATGCTGATGTTTTTTTAGCAGCTGCTGTTGACCAAGTCCAGCGCTGGGGATCGTTCCTTGAGCAGAGAGGGCCTTCCTTCCACAGCTGGCTTGCGCAGGGGCTCTGCTGCTGGTTTCCAAGGCAGGGCTCAACGTGCTGATGCACTGGTTGCTTCTGCATTGTAGGGAGTTGTACTGATCCCTAGAATTGGGATCTGAACCTGCGCAGGCAACTGGCCATTGACACAAATCCAGTTTGGCTCGGTGGCAGAGGTGCGAGTTGTCCCAAGTCAGAGCTGCAGAGCTGTGCGTCGGTCTGTGCTGTACAGAGCTAGCAAACACTGCCGAGGTGATAATAGCGGCACAGAGACATCCAGTTCGGCCCCTGATCACAAGCAGAGAGAAACAGCACAACTCCAGACACCTAAAAAGTACCACTGATGCTCTCCAAAGGAGGGCTTGTGTAACCTGCAGTCAAAGGATGCTGTCTGCATCCTAAGATCTGGAAATGTATGTGTGAAATGGTGGTTGCTTATCGACAAGGTGTTTTATTTTTTTTTTTCTGTGTTTGCAGAGGAACCTGTTGGAGGAAGATTCAGATGAAGAGGAAGACTTTTTCTTGTGAGTTTCTGAACGGCTGCTGTAGGGAATGTGATGTCTTAACTGCCTCCATCTCTCAGACTGGAGGTGTCGAATACCAAAAGCTGCTCCCTTCCACATAGGTGGAGGCCTGGGAATCAAAACCTTTGATTCCTTTGAGATGATCTCCCGGAGCCGTGGTATCGAGCATGAATTAGGACTTAATAGGTGTGACCTGTATAAGAGTGGGGTGTCCCACATATCCTAAGACATGGGAGGCATGACAACAATCCTCCATCCACAAGGCATTGGTTCTGTCTTTGGGTCTTTAGCTTAAATACATGTTTTCGTTGTATCTTCCATCCTGATTGCTCTCTTTTCTGCCTGCAGGAGAGGGCCTTCTGGACCAAGATTTGGACCCAGGAATGACAAGATCAGGCAGTAAGTTGTTCCTCAGTGTCACACAGATAACATCTTATTCTGGCACTGCGAGCTCCTGCTGCTGCCTTACCGGAGTATTTCTGTGTAGTTCTGAATATGAGCATGGCTTGTGCTTTCTTTCTTCTAACTGACATTTCCTACCCATGTCCACAGCTAAGGAAAATCTCAAATTTGATTCAAGCTATCAAGAAATTGTGCATTGACCGAGGCGAAGGGATAGGATTGTATCACAGTAGCTTAGCGGAGTTTCTAAAGCCCTTGCTGTGTTCTGGTGATGACCTGTTCCATGCTTTTATGAGGCTCTTTTTCTAGAGCATTAATCCTGAATTTTAACCTTCGCTAGCACCTTTTTTTATTGTTTCATTGCTTTTTTTTCTTCTTCCTGTAACTTGCTCCTTGATGTTTCAAGAAAGCAAGTGGTCAGGAGCACACCAGGACCATGTTTTTTGGGCAGCGGCTGGTCCTCTGGCTTCCTCTTCTCCAGGTAAAAACCTGACATAGGTGACCTGGAGATGAGCAGTGACTCAGTGGGTCAAAGCAGCTGGACAAACAGGAAACCATTACAGCTCGAGGAGGATTATTGACTGTATTAGGGCAAGAAGGAAGGAGTGAACACTCTGGATCCTTCTCCCATCAAGTCATTTCCTGCATGATGCTTGTTCTGGGTTCCAGTTTGTCCTGCCCTTTTCTGTGAGGGATGCGATGGTGGTACTTAGTGGAAAGGGGGGTATGTTCACAGACCCCTGGTTTGCGTTGTACTGTTTCCTTTGCTGACTTCCGCGGAGCCAGAACAGAGATCTGTGTGGAGACTGATGACCGAGCGTTATTCAGACTGGGTTGTCTTGTGTGCAGCCTGAGTGTTGCTCTTCGTTAGGGATTTTTTTCATGCCAGGAAGAACCCAGTGCAGCTCTGAGATGACTCATTGCCAACGTCAGCGTTAGGCAGTGCTTGCTTGTGTGCCCGCTTGCCACGATACCTTGAGGGGCAAAGTGTACTCGAGTTACACAAGAGGCAGTGGGTCAGTCACTGCGCCCTGAGTTTTCAGGGGGCTTCTGCTCCCTCTGGGGTGTTAGGGTGCTGTTGGTAGAGGCGCACTGGTCCTTACGATAAGCCAGTGTGGATAAAGCCTCCCTACTAGGGCAGTGCCACACTGGCCTGGAGTGAATGAAAAGGATGAGAATTGGTTTTATGCGGGTCTCGCCCCCATAAAAAGGTGGAGAGGGGGTGACATCTACCCCTTCATCCCCTGCTGGAAAGGAATTACAGAGCATCTTCTGCCTTCCCTGCATGGCAGGGGAAAACAGGAGCTGGACTGCCTTGTCCAGGCAGGAGGGAGCGGGGGCTTAGGTAGAGGGGATGTGGGAGTTTTCAGGAGGCAGGGAAGAGTGTATTTTCAGGAGGTGGAGGATAGCACAGCGGCTTTGAAAGAGAAGAAAAATGAAAGAAGAATTCACCCAGGAAGTGGTGGGTTCATAGGTGTGATGTGACTAATGCTCAACACACCTGAGGCTTGCCTGTTGCCAGAGATTGTCTAGTGGGCCTGGTATGGGATACGTCCCTTGGATAGCAAGTGGCTACATCTATCTAATATCTAGAGCATCTATTATAAAATGGTATCTATTTTCTGCTCTCATCAATGTTGATTGCTTTGTTTAATAAGCACTTACAGGGTGCAGTTGTCACTTCTTGTCGTGGAGCTTATTATTAAGTTTCTGATCAGACCAGCCCTTGTGCTGGATGGATTGATGCCTGGTCTCGTAATGGTGCAGTCCGTTCTTGTTTCAACAGAGGAGGAAAAGGAGGGTTGGGTTGCTGCTGAAACACTGTAAGGAAAAGACATTTTAAGGAGGAATTTGCACATCTGGAGAGCTGAGGTGTAGCTGGGCAAAGCTAGAGAGATTGTAGCTATAAAGGGCTGGAGGAACGAGGCGTGAAGATAGGCGTAGAAGGAAATTGGATGGAGGATTGGGTAGAGGAAAAAGTGATGGGATCATGGGAGCAAAGGTGCGGAACATGTTGAATGTGAGGGGCAAGACTGGAAACTTTTCCTAGTTGTCGTTGGCAGTGAAGGGGCTTCGGTCAAGGCGGAGAGTTTGGCAGCAGAGACCCTCGAGGCTGCCTCAGCTGCAGAAAGAGATGGTGGGGAACACTGCAAACCTCGTAGGGGAAGGAGACAAGTTAGAGCCAGCAATAGTGGCAGGAGGAAGCGTCACAGTTCCCTCCGTACTGTGTTTTGCCCTGATAGGTCTGGAAGTTTAGGCTCTGTTGTCCCAACAGCTGCTCGGTTGGGGTGGACGCTCCCCCGGTAATTAAGTGGCCGCGTGGGGTCCCTTAGGCTCCCTCTGAGACCTCCCTGTCCCGGGGATGGGCTGGAGCTGAAAGGTAGCTTTTAACAGGCTTTTATCGTTTTCCCCAAAGTTCCAAAGAACAGGTAAGGGAGAGCTGATCTCTCTACTCTGCCTGTGCTTCCAGGCTTTGTGAGAAGACCTGAACATGTGTCATGAGAGTTCTTAGTGCCTTTTCAGGGGAAGGTGGGATGTTCATCTTCCACCTGGGTTTCTTTTAGTTAGAATAGGAGCCTCTCATCACAGGTCATCTTTTCAAAAGCATTACCAAAATCCCCTACTTTTCTGCGCTGCTTGACTTCCTGATGTTTCTACTTTCAGGCAACCGTGCTGCTGGATTCGGGTTCCTGCTCATGCTGGCAATGAGGCTCAGCACACTGCTGTGGTTCCCCGGGAGCCAGGTCTTGGTCCCTGTGATTCCCCCATTGCATTGCTGAGGGTGGCCAGCATCCGCGGCCCCGGGGCTCGGCCCCAGTGGCTCTGTCTGGCTGCAAGCCCCAAGTTACGTCCCGAGGAGGGGAAGGGTTTGGGGAATGGTTTGAAGGCAAGAGTTGACAGCAGCTTCCCAGGGACTGATTGCTCATCGCAGGTGGTTGGTTGTGCAGTGGACCCCAGCCATAGTCCAGGCTTTCATTTGAAGGTAATACCGAGACCATGTTGTCAGACATCGTTGTTGGGTATGATCCTTTCAAGGACTGAAAGGCTTCAGGGAGGCATAGACTGCTGTCTTCCTCACAGTTGGGATGAAGCAGCAACTTAAAACCAGGGATTTGTGGCCCGGTTCAGCGCTGATACCCCATTGTTGAGTACGGCAGAGCTTTCTGCCCCCCTTTTCTGCCCCTCTGCAGAGAGCCGTGCCTCAGGGAGCGCTGTGCTGTGCTGGCCTCCTGCCTTTGCACCGTCCAGCTGGCTTGGCTCTCCATCCTGTTCCCTCTTCCCTGGGTTACTGCCACAACGAGGGGTGTTTGGGTGTAATTTGCACCAAAATACACAGCACTATTAATATCGCTGGGGTGGAAAATAGAAGTGTGTCATGCTGGCTGTAAACAGCCAGCTTGGAGACAAGAAGCAGCCTTGAGCAGCACATCCCATGGTGCGTGCATGGCCTGTTTACGCCGTCTGAAGAATGCGGCACTGTTGTTAGCCCAACACCGTGACCAGCCCAACACCAGGGAGTTTTTCAGTAGCTAACCCAGTGCGGCCAAAATCGAGAGGCTTACTCCTCCTGCTCTGGACCAGGCAAAGCACAAGAAAGAAGAGTCTAAACCAAGCTAAGCGCCAGTGGGTCTCTTGTTGCTGCTTTGATGGCGTGCACTTGCTCTCGTTGTTAAAAGCATCATATTTGCAGTAATTAGGAAGAAGAAGGGTCATGGGAGACATATTTTTTGCTTTTGTCTTGCTCTCTTTCCTGGCAGGTATTTATTCTACTTTACTTCTCTTGGAAATCTGGCAGGAGCGAAGCACATGAGATGTATGTCTCAAAAGCCAATAGCTCCCTAACAGGAAATATGTTTTGTATTAGAGGATTCATTCTCTTTTGCCAAATAAAACAAGAAAATGTTTTCTTCTCGATGCGACTTGAGTTTCCAACCTTAAGCATGCCAAACTAGTGGGAATTGTTGAATTTGCTCTGAAACTGCATAGGCTAATGCATAGGCTGGGCATCTTTCAGCCCCCTCCTGGAGAGGCATCTCTTGCAGCAGTGATGGGTGGGAGAGAGCAGAAAGCAAGGACTGGCTTAAGGTCTGGTTAAGGCACTGTGTGGAGATGAAAGTTTCATTCCCTGGCTCCGTCTCTATCTTCCTGGTTTTTTTTTTTTCCCGGGGTTCTCTTTTACATCAGATACCAAAAGGTATTGGGGTGCTCAAATGTGTCTGCCTTCCACGGGAGTTAAACACCTCAACATTTGCAAGAGTTTAAGCTTTGATTTCTCTGTGCCTCCATTCTCCATCTGTGAAATGTTTTGTTCTCTTGGGGACGGCTAACAGAATGCACAGGCTATAGGCAGGCGCTAAAGGCACACAGCGTTTCACCAGCAGCTTAAGTGAAAAGAAAACTTGGGACGCTGAAATGCAACTTGGGCAGTGGCGGTCTGTGCTCCATAGGTGTCTCCCAATGCTGGTACCCAGCAGAGCAGCTTGAAGTTACATACCTGCCCACTTTGCCTCGAAGGCTTTGGGCTGCCCTGGGACTGCAGCAGTATCTCTCCAGGCTCTGACCTGTACTGGCGGGGATACAGGTGGGATTACATTGTGCTGCACTTTCTGAGATGCATTGTAACCTTGCGTGCTCCCTCTTGTTAGTTGTACCAAGATAACTTGGTTACAAATCTGTTGTGGGAGGAAATCTCTTTATTTTTGAAGCCAGTAAATGATTTTAGAAACATTTACATACTGCTAATGTAGTCTTCTGCCTGTGAAACTGATGTTTAAGGCCTTAGAGTTTTTGCCAAGTTGGCTCCTCTGGGATAGCAGATGTTTCTGCTTTTCCTCTCTCGCTCCAAGCTATAGCAGCATTGCTGGCAGCTCCGAGCTGGGACTTGTCCGTTGTGCTGAGGTAAGGAAACCCCCTTGCAGAGCATGCCTCCTCCTCACGTCCTCAACCGCTGCCCCAAGGAAGGGCCACGGTGCTGCGTGTGTCCTGCGTGGGGTGGACGCTTTGCTCCACAGGGTACCACTGCCTGTTTCCCAGGCAGCGTCTGCCTGCGTCCTCAGAGCCACTTCTGCGCTTTATTAATGGTGGCAGCTCTGTCACTCGCCTCATACCTTGTAAAACAAATGGTGGATTAGAACAGGCTCGTGGGCATGGGGCAGGGTCCTGCTGAGAGGCGTTTGGGGATTATCTATGCCTTTCCCCTCCAGATAAGAAACTCGTAGCAGGTGGCCGCCATCGATGCGGAAGGCAGGAGCTGCCACCCACCGCACGGTGTCGGGGGTGCAGAGAGATGCTGCTCCCACGGACTCTGCGATGCAGCACAGGGAAGGCAGGTTTCTTTCTTGTGGTATCTTAAATAAAGCAAGTTTTTACGTGTGCTGCTGGAGTCCAGCATGTGCTATATGAGGGCTGTTGAGTCAGAAGTTGGCTTTAGAGGGGTTGCCAGGTTGTTGCAGCTCTGGAAGCTGCAGTGCAGTGGTGCTACAGAGCCCGACCTGAAATGCTAAGATGGGAAGCCCCTTCATATTCAAAGATCTGGAGCTCTTTCTAGAGCTTTTTGGGGAGAAAAAAGCATTTTCTTTTAATGATTTTCCCTGCCTGTTTTTGGAACGATAAGTAAATGTGAGCAAGGCATGTGCTTTTCCATTGCAACCACTGTTGCTTGTTGTAGCCACTCCTCATGTGCGCATCTTGGTGCAAGTGTCTGCTCGGCAAGAGGGATGTAGCTGGTAGGGAGACAGGAGAAATAGGTCAATGTAAACCTATGTCCCTAATTAGAGGCATGGTGGCTAGGATGGGGCCCTGTTTCTAGTTCTGCAATGCCCTGTTGACTGAGACAAGTTGCTCTGGGTCTCCCTTGGCCCCGGCTTCCTGGACCATGGTGGAAGATATGCTGTCCTCGTTGTACCAAGTGCTCTGAGCTTAGGTGCTGGATGCTGGTGGCTGTCTAAGTGGTGGAGTTGGGTCTGGTGCTGCTGTAAAAATTCTGATTTGGCAAATAGCATCTTTGAACATCTGCATCTGCGAGATGGCAGTAGGGAGGAGAGGGTTTTGCATGGGTCCAAGGAGGAAGATGTTGTGACTGGATAATTTGGGGAGCAGGAGAGTGTGCTAAGCAGGTGCAAATGATGGGGTGGTGGCAACCCTTCTTCCCTTTGGGGACACCAGTGGCGCACTGTTAATAGGAGGTATGTGTTTCTGGTAGCGTGGAGAGCGGCCTATTCATGCTGCATATTTGGGAAATGCTGGATGCATTTCGATATGTTTGAAGAGCTTAAATGTTTTTAATCAATGCAACCTAAGTTGTCAAACCTAATGCTTATGCAGAGTGAGCGGCCTGGAGCTATTTCTGTTTTGTTGCCCTGTGTGTAGCGTTGCCTCCAAGACGTTGCTGTTGCTTTCTGGGAATGGTATGTCTCAAACAATGTATTGCCTCCCTAGGGCCCCAAGAAATTTCTTATTTCTATCTCCAGGAAAACTAAAGTGTATTAGCTCCAAAATAGAAACCAGAATGTAGCAGTATTTTTCCACCAGGAGAATTTTTCTCTCTTACCAGTGTGGCTTTTTTATGGAGTGAATAAATGCATTTATAATAACCCTGCGGGTGTGATTTAGGCTACTGTTCACTGAAGTGACTACCCACAGAGTTGCGTAACCTATGAGAAGATGGATTATAATAAGTTGGTTTAGTTCATATCAGCCATTTCTTTACTGTCCTCTTGATGCCCCTGTCAGAGTGGGTTTCATTTAGCAGCTCAGTTCCCAGAGGGGGGAATGCACCTTGCTTTGATTTCACTCCAAGTTATTTAGCAAAGGTGCAGTGCAAGGTTCTATGAAATCTAGAAAGATAAGGTGCAGGTTTTATATTTTTTTTCCCTTTGATGTGAGCTCTTCTGCAGCAGAGGTGCCCACCAACAGCAATTAGTGCCTTTTCTTACAGCATTTATGTGTTAAAGGTGTTACGGAGGGTGGCCTGCTTCTGCTGACTTCCCAGTGTTCCCCTTGTGTTCCCTCGCCCTTCCTGGGATTGCCAGAGACCCACCCCAGGCAATGCTGTGCCTCTGGCTTTCTCAGCATCCCATCAACCTCCCTCCACTGTTGTCCCCTTTGATTTTTGTTGGTGGGCTCCCGGACCCCGTCGGCTTGGGCGACTCTGAGCAAGGGCTGGCACTGCAATGCAGTTGGTGGTGCTTGCTTCTGCTCCTCACGCTGCCTTTGCTCCGCTCTAGTGTCCAGAATCAAGTGGACGAAGTCATCGATGTTATGCAGGAGAACATCACGAAGGTGATTGAAAGAGGCGAGCGGCTGGATGACCTGCAGGATAAATCAGGTGCGATGCTAAATGCAGCTCTGCTGGCCTCTTCCCCACATCTTTTCCCTGTTGCTTGGCCAGGTTACCTGGTTTCTGTTCAGAAAGTGCCTGATGATAGACCTGGGCTTGTATTTCTATCCTTCCTGGGAGTGGTGTTTCACAGCCTTGGGCTGCAGATCTGACTTTTTGCCAGCATTCTCCTCTTTCCACCTTCGCCTTCTGCTGCTCCGCACACAGGCACTAGTTTGGAGGTGTTTGGGTGCTGTGATTTAGTTAGCCCTTCAAGCAAAGGTAGATCGGTCCATCTCCCAACGGCCCTGAGCACTTCAGCTGTCCGCTCGCTTGCTGGCTTGCAGAGCAAATTCCTGTCCTCAGAGGGCAGCCAGTACAAAGGGGGCTCAGTGGGACTCAGCAGGTCTGTGTGTGCTCTAGGGAAGGGCGTCACATTGGCATCTGCTGTGGCTTTGGTGAATCACGCTGTGGTTGGGTCTTTTCCCCTAATGCTGAGTTTATTGCTTAAAACTCAGTGGAGTTAGTAGAATGAGTGGATGCTCTGACGGTGTGTGTGTGTGCGCTGCTGAATCGCCTCTTTTCTTTCCTTCAATAGAAAGTTTATCAGACAATGCAACAGCTTTCAGCAACAGAGCCAAGCAGCTTCGGAGACAGATGTGGTGGCGAGGCTGCAAGGTGAGCAAGAACAGGAACAGGCAGGGGTGGGTTTGTTAAAGGGTGATTATCTGCCCTCCTCTGGGAGGGGATGGAGAAGCTCTGCTTTCTAGCTGAAAAGATGCTGGAAGGCAAAGGCCTCCTTTCAGGTCGAAGCAGCTACACATGGCACTTGTGTAACATGCCTCTGTGCTCCCCTTGCAGATGAAGGCGATCATGGCGCTGGTGGCAGTCATTCTCCTGCTCGTGATCATCAGTGAGTAGCTCCAGGTCACCCCAGCTATCTCTGGCATTGAAATATTCGTGGCACTCCACACCGTGAGTGACACCACGGTGCTGTTGTCCCTGGGGGAGAGCACCTGAGCCACTGGGTTGGGCCCCACTCTGTCTTAAGCTATCATAAGTGGTGCCTGTAGCCCACATCATGCTCCTCTTCTGCAAGGTTTAAACATGCACACAGAGGAGCAGGCTCAAACCAAGTCCTACTGACTGTGGCCAAAGAAAGCCAACGTTGCCCTGCTGATGTTGCATCGATCCAGGGCTGGCACTGACTGATCCTGAGGCTGGTGGGAGTAGACGGAAGAGTTTCAGACCAGAGCAATGTCTTCCAAAGGCCTCTCCACATATATCAACCATCTTGCAATGGGCCTGCTCCCTGCAAACGCTCCTCCCCAAAGCTGCCAGGCTGCTTAATTTTCAGCAAGTAGCTGTTGTGGCTTTGCAGTTGGTCCCTTCCCCTGCCCTCTGCCCTTCCTGATCTCTCTGGAGTTCCCCAGAGCAGAGTTGTTGCTGCTTTTCCTACCAAACAGGTAATAACAACCAGAGTGTATTTCTTCCAGGCAGAATAAGTAATTCAGTCCTCTGCCTGCAGAATCATGTGTTCCAGGGATCCAAGCAGCCCAGCATGGCAGCACAGATCTTCCGTACCGCTGGGTCCGGAGGGTTTTCCTCCCACCGACCATGGCCGGGGGCAGCTCTCAAACTGTTCTTGTTACTTCGGCAAAACCCTCGCAGCCTGTTGTCCTGCTGACACACAGCCTGCAGCAGGAGAGGCAGAGCTGGCAGCAGGGTGGGAGTGTTGTAGAGAGAGAGGCTGATGGAAAATCCCATCTGGTTTAATTTTGGGAAGCTGGAAGGAGATGAAGGTGGCGGGAAATGTGGTCTAGCGTGTGTGCAGGCAGCAGATTGCATTAACTTGAGCTTGGAAACACACTTTCTCTCGCAGCTGCTTGGTGTTTGTCACTACAGAAACGGGGGGATCTCTCTGGCAGGGATCGATGTTGCATGCGAAGTTGTGTGGATGAGAGCTTGTTTCTTTGTGTTTTCCAGTACCCATAGTCCTGAAGTACCGTACCTGACGGGGCAGCTGGAGGCTTCGGTGGAGCTGGCTCTGGGATAACCAAACTGCTGTGTAATTTAAGTGAGATATCTGTATATAGCTTTGAAGTTGTTTTTCTCCAAGGAGCGAGGAGGCGGCGACAAGTAGCCAGTTCTAACAGAGTGTTTTAAGAACTGCCAAATGACCCTTTTTTTTTCGTCGAGTACCTGCTCCTGCTGTCAGACTCTTTTTATAACAGAAGATTCAGTTCCCAAACCGCCTGTTTTGTGGAATTCTGGGTCTCTGGTTTGGAGCTGGCTACTTGCCACTACAGTTTATCTGTATATACGGTTGAGTTGTAATATTAATAATAATACTGTTCGAGCAGTTCCCGCTGCCTGTTGTGGAAGGCACAGGGGACTCTGTCCTTTCATCGGACCGAAGGAGGGAAAAAATGTCTGAAGAGGAACATACCATTATGCTACAGGGAACTGACCCTTCTGTGGAGAACTGCAAGGGTGTTGCTTCTCTCTTGTTCAAAAAAAAAAAAAAAAAAAAAGGGAGAAAAAAAGAAATAATTAGGTTTTACAATCCAGAATACTTTCTGGTCCTGCCATGGGAATGTACAAGCTCAGTGTTTTCAGTATTGCTGCTTACAGCTGTGACTAAAGACATTCCAGTAAACCTATTTTTGACTGTACATGTGGAGTTTCTGCATGTTTTCATAGTGTTCTGGAGGACATTCACAGCTCTCCACTGCTGGGAGTCCCTAGGAAAGGGCTGTTTCAGTGTTTTCTTAACAAAAAGCAAGAAGTCTGTGCAAAGTCCAGCTATTAGCCCAATGATATAAAAGACACAGCAGGAGAACGGCAACTCTCCTGAAACCAGTCCAGGGTGAACAAGCCCATTTCATATTCAGAGCCCTTCACCTTGATGTGGTGGTTGTGGTCCCAAACGCCAGCCCATTTTGTGATCCCTGTGATCCGGTGGGGTGGGGGTTGTTCCCAGACAGATGCGCTGGGGTGCTCAGGGAGGCGAAGGGGCCCCTGTGCTAGACTAAACAGTAGCTGAGCTCCTCCATCCATGGGTGGGACTGCTGTGTTTGGCTGTCTCCAACCTCGGTCTTGGGTGTCGGTGGCATTTCTGTCTGCCCTTTATTTTTGGGACCCTTGTTCCTTCCAGCCATGAGCCTGGGACTTTAGCTGAGCTGAGATCAGGCTCTCCTGGTTCTCTTTATGCTGTCTCTTTTCTGATGAGAGAAGCATTGTCCTGCTTAGCGTGTGTCTGAAGTAATTTTGGAGAGGGGAAACGGTGCCCCAGAGAATTCTCAGTGCCGTGTCTCAGCTTCCTCTTCTGAACCTGCCCCCAGGACCTTGTAGACAGTTTCCACCTGAGTGGTGGTGCTGCCTCATGCAGAAAAGGGGATTAAAAGTGAGCACAGCAGGCTGGAGAGTCGGATGTGATTACAAGCTCTGCTTGGCCTGCTGGAATATAAATAGGGCTTTTCCCCTCTGTGGGCCCTGCTCTCTCCAGGTGGGAACCAGAAAGCCAAGCTGGATTTTTCCTCCTGAAGTGTAGCCTGGTTTTAAGATCATGCACCCAGTGGAAGGGACAAAAATCATCCTGCCTATGCCTTTGGCTACTCTCCACCTGCAAGGGATCAAGAGAGTGGATGAAGAGGGACTGTGTCTGTCTTCAGGGGGGCTGCAGGTCTTGCTGAGCTATCAGGTGCCTTTTCCTGCCAGCTGAAAAGTGAGTTAACAGCACTACAAGCCTGTGTAATGGCT